CTGGAGGCTGTGTGGAGGGCCTAAGCACTCCAACACAGCAGCTGCCAATGCACCCAAGATCAACTGGGAAAGCTCCCAGCCCAAGGGCTGGAGACCCCGCAGTTTGGAAGACCCTGGAGTGAGGAGTGTGTGGGGGATGCCCCCGCCATTGCCCAGAAAAGCAGGTTGCTTACCAGTAACTGGTGATCTTCGACGTGGTCATTTATTTATTTATTTTTATTTATTTACATGTGATTTCTATACCGCCTATGACCCCTAATGGGTCTCAGAGCGGTTTACATTAGACTACATCTGTAGTCGAACCTAACTAGGGCCACAATTTTGTGCCGGGGGGGGGATTACCTAGCGGCACCCAGACGGCGGACTTTTCTCTCCTCCTCTTCTTCTTTGGCGGCTCCAGGCGCAGTCTCGGCGCTCCGGGGAATCGGCGACCATTGGCGGGCTTCTTGGTGGATCCTCCGTCGTCGCGCACTGCTTTGGACTGCGGCTTCCGGCTATTCGTCCCATCGGACTCCAGCCACGCCGCGTCGCCTCGCAGTTGCATCATCTCGACTCTGCCTCTATCCGATGTAGTCGTTGCCTCCACGGTTCGCCGGATACCGCCATTGTTCTTCCTCGCCGCTCCCGTTGTCGCCGCCGCCATTAGCACTCCTGGCACGGAACCAGGAGGAGGGTGCCCCCTGCCTCTAAGGCAGGTACCCATTTCTCTACTTGTAATTACTTTCGAGCCACTGGGTTGGCGGGAGCTGGGACTGAGGACCGGGAGCTCACTCCGGCCGCGGTGGGGATTCTGTGCATTCACACCCATGGGATTCAGTGCGCATGTGCTGGATCGATCGGTGCTGTAGCAAGTGCTTTTTAAACGGATTTTTGCACCCAGTCCCTCCGGGCATGCGCAGGAACCCCACCGCGCATGCCCAGAGGGGTGGGCGCGGACATCCCACAATTTCCTTCAAAGTACCACCGCAAATCAACCCCTATTCAAAATGTAGAAGCTGACAGCAGCGGGGAAGGAGGGCGGGTGTTGTGAATGCACAGATGACCACTCGAAGATCACCAATTACTGGTAAGCAACCTGCTTATCTTCGACGTGGTCTCTGTGCTTCACACCCATGGGAGATTAGTGAGCAGTAGCCTACCTGGAGGTGGGTGCTGGCAGGTCTTCTACTGTGTTGCCGAAGACAGAAAGTGACGTCCCATGTTGGTACCGGTGTTCGTACGGATGTCTAGGGCGTAGTGCCTGATAAAGGTGTTAGGCGTGGCCCATGTAGCAGCTCTGCAAATGTCCATCAGCAGCACTCCTTGGAGGAAGGCAGCGGAAGTCGCGACAGCCCTGGTGGAATGAGCCCTGATAGGGCCAGGCAATGGCTGCTTGGCGAGTAGGTAACAGAGTTGGATTAGACCTACAATCCACTTTGACAGGCGCTGAGCTGTGATGCGACTGCCTAGCCCTGCTGAAGCGTATGAGACGAATAGTTGTGGGTCTCGTCTGGTTGGATGCGTTCTTTGCAGATAGAAAAAGAGAGCCCGCTTGACATCTAGAGTGTGTAGTAATCTGTCCTCCGCTGACGTAGGGCTTGGAAAGAAATCTGGGAGGAAGACCTCAGCCTGCAGGTGGAACTCTGACACCACCTTCGGCAGGAAAGAGATGTCCGGTGCTAGGCGGACTCCATCTGGCAGAAACGACAGGTAGGGTGTACCGTGCCGGAAAGCCAGTATCTCTCCCACTCGCCTAGCCGAGGTGATGGCAATTAAAAAGGCCGACTAAGGCTTAGACCATGGTGATTTTGCTGCTTAGAGAAGTACTGAAGACATAGGTAATGCGAGGGTGGAAGAGATGTCAAGCTGAACGATATCGTAGACTGAGTCAGTCGCTTGATGCTGTTGTTGGACGACCAAGAGACTTAAGGAATGGGCCATCCGTTTGATCAGATCCGTATAAGATGTGAGGTTATCTGAAGGGGATATAGGTAGTTCCTCGGCAACATCCTGGTTAGGAGACTTATGGTCAGGAGAAGTGTGTTCAGAAGCCTCCGTATCAGAATCCTCTTCCACGAAGTCAGAGGAGTCTTGTTGGTGTATCTGGACCGACGTGTCCTGAGGGCAAGTTACTGGTTAAGGTTGGACGACAGGAACGACTGGGTTTGGCCCGAAGGCCTGAGGTAAATTTCCCTCAGAAAAAACAAAGTCCTTTTTTTAAAAGATTTTTGAAGAAAGAATCAAAAGAAAAGGAAAGGGATAAAGTGTGGAAATAATTTCCAAGAGCTGAGAAGGTTTTTCAAAAGCTAACAGCGATCCGATCAGACCGACGGAGAATGAGGTCTTTCCAACGCGGCAGTAAGAAAGGAACTGATGGGATGTCTGCGCCCACCCCTCTGGGCATGCATGGTGGGGTTCCTGCGCATGCCTGGAGGGACTGGGCATGAAAATCCGTTAAAAAAGAGCTTGCTACAGCACCGATCAATCCAGCGCATGTGCACTGAATCCCATGGGTGTGAAGCACAGAGACCACGTCGAAGATCGCCTGGTTCCTTCTGCCACTGAAAGGATTGGGGGGGGGGGCGCTATGTCCTTCCTGCTCCCTGGTCAAGCTTTCTGGAGAGCAAAGAGAAGATCAAGTGAAGAAAAAACAAATACTGAGAAACTACAAAGAGGTAAGTGGGAATCATGGCACTCAAGTGG